TATTTTTTTTTTTTTTTTGCCTAATTACCTCTGAATTTTTTCTTTTTTTTTTTTTTTTTTGCCTAATCAGCTCTGAATTGTTTGCTTTATTTCTTTTTTTTTATCCCCACCAGAGGGCGCTGTTTATTCCTCAATTGTAATGAAAATGTCTCCTATTAAGTAAATTGTCGCTTTCTTAGGATTCACCAAGATTACAGCTATAATATAAGATTGCTTTAGTGAAAAGAGTAGATTCAAATTCTTATTTTTAATTAGTGTGTGATAGAGAAGCTGAAGGTGAGAGCAAAGCATTGCACCAAACTGTAATTACCTTCACCCCCTGTGGAGATGTCTGTTATGCAGAAAAGCCTATTGCTTGTGACAGCTGACATGATCATTTCGCTTGAAGAATCCCTTGGCAGACAAACATTTTACACATCCTGACATCAGGGGCAGAATATCAGCTGCAGCATATGGAGTTTTAAGCTGCAGGGTCTTTTAAAGTGGAGGAAACTGATGCTGAGGTGGGTTTGCTTTTTTTTTTTCAGAAGCAATGGATACTCAGTCTTAGAAACTTTGTTATGGCACAGGCATGTGCATTTTGCTGAAGGAACTGGTTTGATTAGTACAAAATCCAACTTCTCCACGACCTAAACGCATTCATTTAGCAAATACTGGGGGGGGGAACCTGTTTCCCCGACACTGTTCTGGATTTTCACTTCAGAATACTTGGTCCGTTTGTTCTTAACCTGACATTGTGAATGGCATACATGTGGACTATACAGAGCTAATGTTTGTGTGGATAACAGTGGTATCACTTGAGCTTTGAAGCTCTGGATCCTCCAATGAAAAATGTTCTTGTCTAAACGGATTTGATGAACATCCATGTGTTGATAAATCCGCATTTGTGACACATTTTTGTCAATTTTGGATGATGCATTGATCACTGCTCTTTGAGATGTTCAAAGGTTGGGATGCTGTTTTTAAAACCTTTGGCTTCAAACTCCTCCAGTCATGTTGGTTTATAGTTTGTTGAACCACATGTAGAACCGCACAAAGAACTAATAAATGTTAACGTTTTATTTACAAAATCAAAAGATTTTGATTGACATAGCAACACACAGAGACTGAAATCTGATTGGACAAAAAATATAGCAACTACATAAATATAGTGGAAGCAGCAATACAAAATTAAGAGATAATAAAATAATTCAATTGGAAAGAAGAAAATTAAAGTCATCCCTGGTTATTTGACATTGATCTTCCCAAAACCCATACATTTAAATCCATAAAAATAGCCTGATGCGTCTCATTATGTTCTTTTTGTTTCCCATTTTTGCTGCGGTAATGAGGACACACCCGGAACATGTATGCGCCGGATGGCCAGTAGGTCCCTTCTAAGAGAGTTTCTCTACACTTTACAGGAGCTACTCTGAAATGTTCACTCTACTTTGTAAAATCATACCTGAACTTTACTGGTTGCTATTCTTTCCTTTGTTGTAGTCCTATTAAAATTTAAACCTTCACCTTTAAAGTCGTGAGCAGACTGAACAGGATTGCTCTATATATTGCTTCTCCATCTTTCATTTTCTCCTGTTGTGCTCCCCTGATCCCTCTTGCAGAAATCCATGGGATGATGCGTGACAACTGGTAAGCCAGAGGGAGAATGTCTCTGTGGTAGACATCACAAAAATTTCTGATTTGATCCAAGTCCATTCTGGCTTGGATCTAAGGCAGTGCTGCTCGCACGGCCAGGCTTTTCTACATTTCTGTTCAATTATGATGAAAAAAAAAGGCAAATGAAAACAAATCTAACAGCTAGTGCAGGGGAAGGAAGAGTCCAGTAAAAACATAAAGAGCTATTCAGCTAACATGGAGCTATGCCACTCTATCAAAGTATCAACACAAACAGTCTATGCCTTTCTGTCATGATTTAACTAAGGTTCAGACCCAAATGCAGAAAACCAAACAAAAAAAAATAGACCAGGGAAAAGGTTTAACAGGTTTTATTGAAGAGATAATTCAGAGAGAAGTGTTGCTCTGAACNATGATCTGGTGAACTGGAAAGTGACCTGAGATGACATGATGGGAATTGGAGCTATAGAAATAAACTGAATAGAATTAAATTGAAATTTCTCAGCATTCTGAAATAGTGCTGGACTGTTGGCAAAGAAATTATCGTGAGCAGAGGGGCTTGTAGTTGTGTTGCCTGTGATTCTGTTGCCAAAGAAAAATAAAAAAATATTAAAACCTGGGATTTCTGCAAACTGAAACAAATGTACTTAAATTAATTCATCATTTTTTATGATTCTAATTTTATTTCACTATTGTGTTTTATTCCGATTTCTGATGAACAAGGTGAAGAAATCATTGTAGAAATCACTATATATACCTATATATATATATTTGTTTTTTATATTATTTTATTTATTTTTCACAAATCAAAGTAGAAACTCAGAATACATCAATAAAATAAGAAATGTGATGGAGTGTGACAGACAGCCTATAGGGCTTATACCAAAGGCCACGCCCCTAGAGCGACAAAACATCAGGCAGCTGACATTATGAAAGACATTTCACTCCAGAGAGGAAACAGAAGACATGAACAATAACATTTTCCTTTTTTTACATTTTAACTTTCATATTTCAGGGAGTCAATATTTGTAAAATCATAAATCACTGTCTTTTTTGGATATCAGTATTTTTTATAAAGACTTTCTACCATTTATCTCTGAAAATGTCAAATATTTTCTATATTCTTTCCATAGTTTTGCACCACGATGCCGAAAAGAAAATTGCACTTGAGTTTTAATACTTAAAGGAAAAGACAAAGCTTGTCTAGTATTATAAGAAAGGACTCGGCAGTTCTTAACAAAACAATTCTTGAAACCATCAGGAGACTGATCTTGTTTTATCCTAAAAACAAAGGTACATACATTTTAATTAATAAATATTCAACAGCTGTAATTTGGAGAAAAAGGGGAGGCAAAAAAAGGCAAAAAAAAAAAAGCTTTTCGTAAAAGTAGGATTTAAGATAACTAGGAAATGTTCTTGCCTAAACGATATTACAGTATGACAGATTAATGAATAATATAAAGTTAATATCACTTTATTTCTGAACAAAATTTCTATACCTTCTCAAAATACCAAGATATTTAGTGACTTTCTTGCAGACTGCACCAATTTGTTCTCTCCAAAGGAGTTTGTGCTGCTATTTCTCATAAAAAACCATAAAGATAATGATTTATTATTGCTAATATTTCTAATGCAATACACAAGAAAGATAATGAAAGTAAAAGTTAATAGAAAACCTTTCTAATCGCTATTCCTGTTGTTTAATGTGCTGTCATTTTATGACAATAATGGCATTTTACAGAATAATAGTAATGATATGGAATAATCAATGAACTGACTTGTTAACTTACCTGATGTCAAATTTGCGTCTCGTGTTGAAAAATAAGAAACGTTTAAGAAATCCATGGGTTAAAATAATTTAAACAAAGATGCAGATTTATCTTCTTCTTTCTATAGACCCGGAGGGGCAGAGGGAATCCTGTCTGACTCCAGATGGATGTGGTCTGAATGGTCTGAAGCTGCGCGCGCGCGCTCCGCCGCTGCGCCCTCACGCGCAGCGCGTCGGTGCGCGCCCCGAGACAGCGCTCTGTGCCACCGCGCTCCACGCACTTCATTAAACTTGACCTGCAGGTGTCACTCACCGTGGGAGGAATGTGACACATGGTGGGTGTTTCACCTGACCGCTGCGCGCACTGAGAGCTGCATCCAAACGCATTCACTGTGTCCAATATTGGCTGCCCTGTTGGAAATGATCGAAAATGCTGCATTAACTGAACAAAAAGATCCTAAAAAAAAAGCAAACATGAAATCCAGTTACAGGTTATTTAAATTTAATCTAAACCTAGAGAAAATATAGGAATAAAAATAGATTATTATTATTTTTTTTTTTTTTTTGCCTAATCAGCTCTGAATTGTTTGCTTTATTTCTTTTTTTTTATCCCCACCAGAGGGCGCTGTTTATTCCTCAATTGTAATGAAAATGTCTCCTATTAAGTAAATTGTCGCTTTCTTAGGATTCACCAAGATTACAGCTATAATATAAGATTGCTTTAGTGAAAAGAGTAGATTCAAATTCTTATTTTTAATTAGTGTGTGATAGAGAAGCTGAAGGTGAGAGCAAAGCATTGCACCAAACTGTAATTACCTTCACCCCCTGTGGAGATGTCTGTTATGCAGAAAAGCCTATTGCTTGTGACAGCTGACATGATCATTTCGCTTGAAGAATCCCTTGGCAGACAAACATTTTACACATCCTGACATCAGGGGCAGAATATCAGCTGCAGCATATGGAGTTTTAAGCTGCAGGGTCTTTTAAAGTGGAGGAAACTGATGCTGAGGTGGGTTTGCTTTTTTTTTTTCAGAAGCAATGGATACTCAGTCTTAGAAACTTTGTTATGGCACAGGCATGTGCATTTTGCTGAAGGAACTGGTTTGATTAGTACAAAATCCAACTTCTCCACGACCTAAACGCATTCATTTAGCAAATACTGGGGGGGGGAACCTGTTTCCCCGACACTGTTCTGGATTTTCACTTCAGAATACTTGGTCCGTTTGTTCTTAACCTGACATTGTGAATGGCATACATGTGGACTATACAGAGCTAATGTTTGTGTGGATAACAGTGGTATCACTTGAGCTTTGAAGCTCTGGATCCTCCAATGAAAAATGTTCTTGTCTAAACGGATTTGATGAACATCCATGTGTTGATAAATCCGCATTTGTGACACATTTTTGTCAATTTTGGATGATGCATTGATCACTGCTCTTTGAGATGTTCAAAGGTTGGGATGCTGTTTTTAAAACCTTTGGCTTCAAACTCCTCCAGTCATGTTGGTTTATAGTTTGTTGAACCACATGTAGAACCGCACAAAGAACTAATAAATGTTAACGTTTTATTTACAAAATCAAAAGATTTTGATTGACATAGCAACACACAGAGACTGAAATCTGATTGGACAAAAAATATAGCAACTA